TGCCAAGACTTTTCAGAGAGATTTTTTAATTTTTTTTAAATAAAAACTCTGTATTTGGGAAACATTTATTTCAGTACTTCACTAATGCTAGTTCACATCTGGCATTTAGTTTTGGTTTAATAAGAGGCATAGATGGGAATTGAAAATATTTTAATGCTTTATCTCAGCTTCTTTCTGAAGGAAATATTTCACCTAAGACATACAGATTTTGAGAGAGCAAGTACAAAACAGGAGAGAAAATTAAATAAAAAGAAATCGGGGGTCTGGAAGACAGAAGATATCAAGAACTGAAATAAAGGCTTCACAAGCAGAACTTAAATTAGACATTAATGTTGATTTTCATTTATGCCCAATATGCCTTAAATTTTGTTGTTTCTGAAGAAAATAGCTCTTAGTTCTGTTGATTTTAAGGTGGTAAAAAGACTATGGTTTCAGACTGCTATCACTGTTGATGAGAAGCTTAACATGAGCCGTCAGTCTGCACTTGCAGCCCAGAAAGCCAACCGTATCCTGGGCTGTATCAAAAGAAGCATGACCAGCAGGTCAAAGGAGGTGATCCTGCCCCTCTACTCTGCTGTTGTGAGACCTCACTTGGAGTATCGTGTACAGTTCTGGTGTCCTCAGCATAAAAAGGACATGGAGCTGTTGGAGCAAGTCCAGAGGAGGGCCACAAGGATGACAAGGGGGCTGGAGCACCTCCCATATGAAGACAGGCTGAGAAAGTTGGGGCTGTTCAGCCTGGAGAAGAGAAGACTGTGTGTGCCTCATAGCAGCCTTTCAATATCTGAAAGGTGCCTATAAGGATGCTGGGGAGGGACTCTTCATTAGGGACTCTAGTGGTAGGACAAGGGGTAATGGCTTTGAACTTAAACAGGGGAAGTTGGGATTAGATATAAGGAAGAAGTTCTTTACAGTGAGGGTGGTGAGGCAGTGGAAAAGGTTGCCCAAGGAAGCTGTGAATGCTCCATCCCTGGCAGTGTTCAAGGTCAGGTTGGACAGAGCCTTGGGCGACATAGTTTAGTGTGAGGTGTCCTTGCCAGTGGGTTGGGAACTAGATGATCAGTGGGGTTGGAACTAGATGATCCTAAGGCCCTTTCCAACCCAAACCATTCTATGATTCTATGATCATTAGAAATAATTGTCTGGAACTGCTATTAATTTGTGAAGCTGGGGCAAACTATGCTCTTCTGCCACCTACTCTGCTGTCTGCCGCACACATAGGCTTGTTTTCTGCCAGCTCTCCTGCTGATAGTTTACAGAAAATGACATACTGGTAGGTGATCACCATCAGGCCTGAAGACGGGTGGGTAGTGCAGAGGTAGAGGTTGCTTCTGGCCTTTCTTCCCACCAACTCCAGATAAAGATCCTAGTGAAATGGGTCAGCTGCTAGTTTGCAAACAAGTTAGTATGTCAAATTAAAAACAGAGCTCTCAGCAGGCTGAGTACCTGAGCTTCACTACAAATTAGTTTATGCCTGGATCTACAAATTTTCTTTTCCCCCCTTCCTATGAGGATTTAGTCTCTATTACAAAATCAAGATATAAAAAAATTTCATGCCACTGTAGCAGGTACAATAATCTTTTGGATGAATTCAAATCCTTGCAGTTATTCTTCGAGCTCAAGATAAATCAAATTTAAAAATACAAAGAGTAGCTTCTGGAGTAATGTAAATCTCACTTCAGGCTTTGATGAATCTGGATTAGTATTTTTGGTTGGAAAGAGACATAATGAAGCCATGACTGCTTGGAAAAATTATAAAGATTAGCTACACCCCACCTAAAGGGAAATTATTTTGATCCACAGCTTTTACTTCAGCTTAATAACCTCTGTATACTTCTCTGATTTACTCTTTTAAAAGATTAATGCTGCAGATATGAATTTGGAAGGATTTTGTGACTGAAAATTTTACCAGGTCCTGTGGACTTCATATGCCACTTTAGCATCTGCTTTTTCTGTGCACCGGGAGGAGGAGGAGTGTGAAAGATGCTGACCTGAACAAGGGAAAACAGATTTAGCAAATAATTAAAAATTAAATCTCTTTCAGAATAATTATTGTGGAACAATAAAGCAATATTTGAAGCTTCAAAACTACATTCTAAATTCATTATATTTTTCATTTAGAAAAACACTTGAAAAATGAAGATATTTCATTCAGTGGGGAAATTGTGCAGCATCTTGAAGATACTATTGCTGCTATTAAGAAATTGGTAAGAAAGATCTAGTATTTAGTTTCCAATACATGGGAAACGGTTAGTTGGTAACCATGAAATCAATCTTCTACGCTATTAGGACTGTTCTCTTGTGTGAGTTATAGTCTACCTTAAGAGACAGGCAGTTTGGAGTGAAGTTGGTGGGTGCTTGCATGCACTTTGCTTCCTGCAGAAGTCTGGCTATGGTAGAACAATCCAACCTGACTATTATAGATACACAGTTGTTCCAAGCCTTAGCTCACCTGCTGGTGTTTTAATGCAGGAATTGTAGATGTCATTTCCACTAGGGGTTAGTGACATTTTAGGCATGCCCAGACTTCTGTTAAGTAAAAAGAGGAAGGGTCTTATGCCTAGCAGATTAAACTGGGACTTAGGGTTGAAGTTTTGTTCCCAGGTCTATTGTTTCTTCATAGTTTGTGTAAGAAGTATAAGCTTTGAACCTACAGTGACTTAGTAGGAACATCACAAAAATCGCTTGAAGGCAAAGGTCTACTTATGTAGAGCCTTTTACGTCATAAGGGCTTTAATGCCATCAATGCAAGGGAGAAAAATCATGCTTCCCTCTCAAGGCTGCTGTGAGGATACACCCACTAATGTTAGTGCATTCAGCAGATGGTACCGGGTT